TACGGCAACATTTTTCCTTGTGCAAGAACAAAATTACTCAGGTATGCAAATAACCGTGCCTTTATTTTAATGTTTATTTCGAATTATTACATTCAATTATAGCATGCATATTTTACTTCTTCTCACCTTATTTCAAACACTATGTAAATGGTGTTAAGCTGAATAAACTTTCCACATGAAAGTGCATAAATGTATTTAGATTGGAATTAGGGTCTGTGAATTAGCTGTAATTCAATATATATAGAACCCAAATTTTTAAGTGTTCAGTAAATGACTTGACGTCTTTAATCTATCGAATCCCGGAAACATGCCTTTAAAGTTCAGGAAAAAAGTGAAAATTGTAGACTCATTTTAATAAGGATTTTTCGTCATGGAGATTTGTCATGCCCACTAGCACCGGCCTAAGCGATAGGCCCTACTTAATCTACAACAAATATAATATATTTGAAATGGAATTTATGACCCCTAAGGACCAAACAAAATTATACAAGCATAGATGCCCGACAACACTTAAATAAAACGGCTACTATCAATTATGGAAAGTTTTGTAAGGCAATTCATTAACATTTAAAATGGCATCCATCTTCGGGCCATTTAAGTAATTCCATTGCATTTTTTCAATATTTAAAGTTGACAATTATGCTATTCATGACTTAGGAACAATATCATTCACTCATCTTTCGTTTTTTAAAACTTATTTGCAATCATAGCGAAAACGCGCCGTTTAAACGCCAAAACATGCTTCAGATAGATAATAATGGATAATGACTATAATCATGCCAAATTCTCAGCAATTGTTTCTATTTATAAGAGCCATTACAAGAACATAATGTATATTTATTCACTTTTATGCTTGATATGGAAGAGAATTTCGTGAGAATAAGATATCTATCTTAACGAGCAAAATTGTAATGCACATTTTGCCGATAAATTCCAACTTATTTCAAGTAGTAGATACATCGAAACGCCAGTAGTGCATGCCAATGCCAATTTTATTCTAAAATAATCATTAAACCGTCTAAAAAGATTCTGACTGACAACTTTTAATAAGCTAAAGGTGACTTGAGTTTTATTCAGCCTGTTCATGGATGGTACTGGTAATATCAAGCTACTTAATGTCCACGCTCCTAGCACTTGTTTAGCAGAATTCAACATTTAACATAAAATGGTAAAAATGTTTATTTAGAAACATTCGCATATGTGTCTATACAGAGGTTATCATAGAACCTTAATAAAATGCGCTTGTCCTAAATAATGGTCGAAACTAAATAAAATGGAATTTTGAAAGGCAGTTTACATAATTCTAAAGGTTGTGTTTACAGTATTCAGGAAGGAAAACTTGAACCGCGCAACCAGACAAAATTTTCATGTAGATGAAACTAAAGTACCATAAACATGCACATACATCATAAATGTCGTGATGAACGATCTTTAAGGATAGAATTTTTAAGTTTATATCATCGGTTGATGAATAAAAACATGTAATCAGATAACATGTAAAACAATATAATTGACGTTGAGGAAGGAAATTACGTTATCTAAAAAATAAGTATTCATATGAGCATTAAAACAACTTAATCATTGGCAAATGTTGTCCAGATTTGAAATTAAGTTTATTGTAGTGTTTTGATAATAATCCCTGACTTTGTTTTGGTATTAAACTGAGAACATGGCAAAATGCACCAAATGTAAAAGAAAGTGTTTGAAGATAACATGAAATTGGAAAAAAACTATGTTTTTAAAGAATAATTGATATAATTTTTATTTTTGAAAAGGTGAATCTTGTTGAAAAGATGAGCTTTTCTACTCTTTGAATATTTTACTAGGCCGACAGACATTGATTTTTCCTTGCAGCATGTAAAGCATAATGAAATCAATAGCTTTTTTGTTCGATTAATTTGAATATTTTCCAAAACATCATTGTCATTTTGATATAATATGTAATTTCATATATTAAATGAAAAATCAGAACAAAACTATATTTGAGCCGCGTCAGGACAAAACCTACATAGTGCGTTTGCGACCAGCATGGATCCAGACCAGCCTGCGAATCTGCGCAGTCTGATCAGGATCCATGCTGTTCGCTGTCAGTTTCTCCACTTGTAATAAAGTTGGTAAGCGAACAGCATGGATCCTGATCAGACTGCGCGGATGCGCAGGCTGGTCTGGATCCATGCTGGTCGCAAACGCACAATGTTGGTTTTGTCGTGACACGGCTCATTTTAAGAGGAAAAGGCAACATAAATGAAAATTTAATTCTATAATGAATTTAAGACAAATCACTACGTTATATTTTCATAAATACTTCTGTTATAATTATTTTTCTTGTTAACAGGGAAGAGCTTGAGTCCTTTCCAAGATTGAAAATTCAAGAATCTTTATATCAATATGCTTCCCAAAAAATCTGACACTTTACGTGTTAAAATATCTCAGTGAGGGATAGTAACGCAAAGTTATCATTTAGAATAAAAGAAGTAGCGTGTCAGCATACAGATATAACAATCCTTGGAAAAAGGGAACAAGTTTTTGTGCAGTGATTTATGACTTATTTTACACAAAAAAAACTTCAACAACAAGACACTACAACATTCTGTGTTATGCAGAAGAGGAAGAAAAATATTTCTGGAAACTTCTTTTATACTCATTTACAACAAAAGGTTTTAATGACATCACATTTAATCAATGAAGCATGCATACACATTTATTTTGTATGTACAGTGTATATGTTTATGTTCTTTTCAAAGTGTCTTAGCATGTTTTTGTATTGAAGCTTGCTCAAAAGATTAATTTTCAGATATCATAGGGCATGACAGTCCGTCAAAATAAAACATTAGGATATGGGTCTTATGTGGTTTATAATTTATACATGAAAATATCCATGTAATTTATTCAAAACTATTTCTGCAGTTGGAATATGACATTCAATAAAATACTGTGGCAAAAATTCAAAATTACCATTATGTGTGTTTATTATACATGTAATATATAAAAAAAAGTTATCGTAATTTACTGGATAACGTGTAAAAGAACATTAAAAACTTCCACACGTCCATCTAAATTCTAACTCAGCTTTGATTTACGAAAAGATATGCTGTTTATACAAAACACTGTTAGTAAATATCATCTCAGCTGTTTTTTTACAATAAGCAAGCAAGTATCATAGTTTTACAAGTCATAGTATTACAAGTCCCATATCGGTTAGCAACATTCTGCCATGCAATTGAATGAATATATTTCAAGAATAAACTTAAATCTTTTGAGTTCTTAGTTTGTCTGTATCATAGAAATGTGTAAAAATCTATGTTTAGTAAGGAAATTATGTTTATACAACAGAGACTCAAGAGATCCAATTTGCTCAGGATAAATTTGTATAACTAATGATTCTACTTTTCTCTATTTTAAAGAAACTTGTTGGAAAAGTTCCAAGTTCTTTAGAAGTGATCTCAGGAAACGGACATACAGACGGACTGACAGACACTGAGGGTTAACCTTTACACAGCCCTAGTTTTTACCAGAATATTACATTTATAAAAGCAAAATTCTTGAACTAAAGAGAAAATTACTCTTTAAATAAAGTTGCTAGACTTATGAACATTGTCATGCATGATGTGAGTGAAACATAGAACAACTATTTTGAGTTTATTCAGTTTTAAAAAAATGCCATTTGTAGTCACAAAGTAGAAAAGTGAAAAAATAACAATTTTCAAATATGCCATTAGTGCCGAGGGATCACCGATTTTCCAGCTTATTTTAAATATAAATACATTTATATGAAGGTTTTATTAAGTCCGCAATATCAGCGACTCCCTGTTCTAAAATAAGATAATTTGTGTTTTTGTCGTGCACAATGTGTGCACATTTATAAAAGAAGTATCATACGTTGTATCGTCAACACTGTAAAACTACGTTGTCTTACAATAACGGACACTGAAAGAGAACCTGTAAAGATGGCATTCTCATTTACGGCGGTGACCATGAATAAATATATGTTTCAAAAATCAAATATAAATATTTATTACCCTTCCAGATTTTTTCCGCCTTTTTGATTGGATATTGATCACCCGAAAGAAATTGATATAACCGAGCCAGACGGGTAATATACACATTAAATTTCCCCGTTGGGTACCCAACGTTCTAAACGACATGCGCTGAGGTGATGCGCGTACGGTTCGATTTTACGCGGTGCAAATTCCGATTTACAAGCACTTTTTAACTGTCAAATGATTAATATTTACCAAAGTAGAGTAATGATACAAATTCCCATCAGTATTGAAAACAAATATGACCTTGTGAAAGCTTGATATTAATTACAAAAAAAGTGCTTTCAATAGACTACTCCTTTTCGCTTGTTTACATTCGTTAGGTACGGGAAAAATACGTCATGTATTTATGTGACGTCATGTTGTGATGAAGAGGTCCCCTAAAGGGAATCTTATTTCGACGTTTCATTTGAAACAGCAATGATTTTTTTTTAAAAATCGTCTAAACTCGGCAGGGGAAGGGTAATAAAATTATTATTTTGGTTTTGGAGTGATATATGTGGATATATTACCTGCCAAGATAAAATATCACCCTTGCCTAACGGCTCGGGTGATATAAAATCTTACAGGTAATATATCCACATATATCACTCCAAAACCAAAATAACATATAACGTTACACGTATGTACTGTATATGATAAGAAATTAGTGTTATAAACTAATGGCACCTGAGACATAAATGATTTAATTTTGTTTGACATTCGTTTATAATGTACATATGGAAATTTCATGCCACCTATAAATGATGTACATGTATATAGCATCTTTTGACTTCTATAATTAAGTTTACAATAGAGAAAACGGAATCCCTAAGGCTAAACAAAACTGAAAGCGTTGTAGGCTCAGTTTGATTTCTACATTCCACGCCCCATAGCACCGACTTAAGCAGAAAATAAAGTGTATAAAAATTTGATAACGAATGATGCCTTATACAAATTCATTTATTCGAATTTACATCATTAATAAATTTCTGAAAGAAGGAATCCTGAAAAGAGTGTATAACAGTATCCATGTATTTCCCCAGCATGACTCGTTCTTATCCAAATTTCGGACCCTTGATCCATTTCAAGCACCCACTGATTGCCGGTTGCCTCATATCCCTGATTACCACTGGCGTCGACAAGGAACTTGTTGACAACAGCGCCATCTTTTACAATCTCCAAATATTGTTTATGTCCAGCAACGGACATTGCAGTAGAAGAAAACACATACAACCCTTTATAAGGAGCTGTGAATATTCCAGTGGAGGCATGATATGCACCCGAAGTATTTGTAATGATCCTGTCATAAACAATGGTGTGGTGAATCCCAAGATTTGTTACATCTCGAGTCGAGATACACGCTGTGAATCCTACTGCGGCACCTGAAATATATATACGAGTAGAAACGATCATTACAGCCTTATTTTATACACTTTGGGTAAATCTTCGATTATAATAATAACGCGGAAGCTATAATAACGAAGAAGAAAAACATAATCTTTTTTCTTCTCAAACTTTGTTAATAATGAAGAAAATGACGTGGATGATAAAACAGCTCAATGAAGTGAAAGCGGCCATAATTTTACCATCGGGATTTGAAATTTACCATGAATGACAAATATTTCATCCTTGATGTATTTCATTGGTTGTTAAATGAAGTTCAATACAAATGCTCAGCCCAGATAATCCTAACAATTTTGACACACACACACACACACACACAAACGCACACACACACGCACACACATATTCTCGCACTCGAGCGAAATCTCTCTCACATACGCACCCATGCACACACACGCGCGCATGCACGCATGCACCCACACATGCTCACACATAAACTCACTATCTCTTACTGATCCTAACAATCAGCCCTTTGACTAAATTCTTGAAATACAATATATTTAATTAGAGATAAAAAGATCCAATTTATAATGTAAGTGGTATTAGTAATAAGGAAGATGAAAAAAATGCAATAACAGTAATGACATTGTGATCTGTTAAGAAAGTCCTCACATTTGCACTTTAAACAAAGTGTTCTTGGAAACTGGGCAAAGTTAACCCTTTTAGCTCACGGGATCTCTTCAGAAAGTGTATATGACGACCATTTTTCGTCTTAATATGAATCAGCTCATATACTTTCCTCGCAATAGTGCATTGCAAGTTATGTAAATATACGATAAGATTAACCGGTTCTGCAAACAGTTCAGTTTAAAAACAAGATTTTATTTATTAGTTTTTGCCATCAACAACAACAAAAACAACAAGAGCACGACATAATCATATGAGTTTTTGTTATTTCACTTGTTTGACAGCACATGTATCCAGTTGACGCCACATTTAGCCTACTATTTCTGGTAAGCTGAAAGTAAAATTACATCATAGTTACTGTGGTAAATAAGACAGATTTATTTTAACAGTTTATTAGGCTCTAGTTCATTATCTTAACGTTTGCCCTGCTAGCAACAGTATATTTTCCCATGCTAAAATCAGTCTGCTCATGGTGTACACCGCACATATTTTGAAAATCTCTCTAAAAATTATGAACTTCACAGATGGACAAGTCTAATGAAGATATTTAGCATGATTATGTCACATCTGGTAAGGGAAGTAACTCTTCCTCGACGTTTATCGCTTAAATGAAATGATCTATACTGGCATTTAAAGGAAATAGAACAAGTTAGTACTTAAATACATACATATATATTCGATTGTTCGATTTTGTGAAATATATGTAAGTAAACAAAACGGATAATAAGTTAAACTGATGGGCAATGTTAAATAACATATTTCGTTGTTCATTAAAAATATCAATGACATAGCATTTATTATGTCGATTTAAATGAGTTGACTACAAGTAAATTTATTTTCAAAGCAGCATGCCTCTAGATTTATGCTGATTATCATGGAATTTTGGAAAAAGTACAAAAAAGTAGGATATTGTCAAGTTAACAAAGAAAGAAATTTACTCATGTAGTCCATGCAAATTACCAAAGATGTTATATTTGTAAAATATACAAATATAACATTTACTCCGTTAGTCCCACATTAGAAATATGGTAATACACTGTTCGTTAAATCAGTCATTCATTGCATATGATATGTAAACTATTTATATTTTTACTTTTCTTAAAATTTTAGTACATTTTCCTTAACTTATTTTCCAGTTGCAGCTTTGACTCACCCATCAGGTTTTTCGCATATGAAAGGCAAATTCGAAGCGCTACAATGCCAATCGTTCCATTGTCCATAGTAGTTATTCCCGTTCAATGTAGCACAGTTTTGTTTATGATCATAATTATTGGGCTGATCCGGATGCCAGTTTAAATATCCAGTTTGTGACATGGGAGTTTTTGTCTCCATCCATATCCAGACCCCTTCTTGTTGTATATCACTGAGACCTATCCAGTAGTTTTCTTAAAAATGTGGAAAAAAATTAATTAAACAAAGCAGAGTACGACAGTGTTGCGCATGACTAAGACCTTCGTTTACAGAACTACTGCCTATCCAACGTATACCTTTATGCAGAAACGAAACGCTTTATGGACATTAAATAGCCTTGCTTCTGTGTTGTCCAAACGTTTCCAAACCCCTCCCGAGGCATGCATGTCGCAGAGAAGGCACATAGCAGATTAAGGTCAAGTTATCCTAAGTATCAGGGATGATTGGTTGACCTGCCGTGACTAACTCAGGAGGATGTGGTCCTGCAAAGGGTCGCTGTAATGAGACTATACAATCAAGACAACGCAGTACTTAGCTCTTGGACATAATTATGGATCACCCGTTGCTCAGTACAAGTTTAAAAACATATATAAAATAAAACAAAAACAACGAAAACAAAACACAGAAAAATGTTGTTCAATCATTTGCATGCCACTTTTTACACTTAATAGATAAATTATGTGGTCTTAATATTAATGTCTTCTTATTTATTTAATTAAAATGTCATCAAATCACGCGGAAGGAGTAGTCGGTCACCTACAGTAATTAGTTATTTATAGTTACCTACGAAAACCAGTTAAAATAGCGGGGGCGCGGAGCGAAAACACGCTAATTAGCGGGGGCGCGGGTGAGGTTTAATAAATAAAACTTTGCCCCGCGGGGGCGCAGAGCGAGATTTAGAAATAAAACGGCGGGGCGCCTACGCTTATTAGCGTGTTTCGCCCCTCAACCCCACCAAGCAAACATCCGAAAATTAACAAGTTAAAATGGCGTGAGCGACGGGGCGAAAATACGAATGGACCAAATCAGCCACCACCATTTAGATTAAAACTTATTTTTTGGCATTTTTCTTAATGAATGCCCATGGCGCTTCTGTTTGACCCAGATTTATAAAAATCATTGTCTTAAAAAGTTATCTGGACACCTACTGCTGTGGCTTAATTTGTATAAGTATAACATAACAAATGTTTGAAGTTTAGAAAATGGGCATTTATTAAAACAAATGTTATAAAATATGTTTTAATATCAGTTGCAAATCTAACTATGCATGTTCGTGAAGTTGGCAACCTAACAGCCTGAAGTTGACAGCCTAAAAGCCTAGCAGCCTAGCAGCCTAAAGAAAACTAAGAATAGTACAAACATGAAAAGAGTCGGAAATACATTAGTAGCACTTCTTTAGATCATTGCACGCCTTTTTTCAATATCGTCATTTTTTAAGATGTTGAACTTTATCTTAACATATTTTTTTTTTCATTCTGACGCTTCGAAATTTGTGAAGTTAGCAGCCTAGCAGGATAGTGCAAACATGAAAACCGTCGGAAATGAATCGGTAGCACAAACTTAGATCATTCCACGTCTTATTTCAGTATCGCGATCTTTATTTTTTTTTTAAATATTGAACTTTGTTTTTTTTAGGAGAAACCCGCTGCACGGGATTTTCACTTGCATGCACGAGTCAGTAGATTCGTTTATATTTTATAAAACATTTCAGTGTAATTTTACAGACTTTCATGTCAATAAGAAAAAGATGTTGATTTTTTTCTTGAGTTTTTCTAATCTTTGATATGCCTGGAATTCCGCAAAAATTACGCGAACGTTCCATTGGCGTGCTTAATGCTGGTATCACGATGAATGCTGTCGCTATGAATATTGGATGTTCTACTCGTGTTATTCGACAACTTAGGTAACGTTTTCAAGCAACAGGGCGTACTGAGAAGTTCGACCACGTAGTGGACGCCAGCGCGTCACGACGCATGCCCCAAACCGTTATATTCGGAACACCTCACCTGCACAATCACTTCTAAACTACCACAGCTACTGCTGCTAACACCCCTGATACACATGGCATCCGTATATCTGCCAAACTGTGCGCAATCGGGGGGGGGATGGGCTACATGAACGTCGACCTTACGTTGGTTGTGTTTTGAGGCGACGTCACCGCGTAAATCGTATTAATTAGGCACCAACACAGGCTTATACAACAATGGAATAGCATTCTTTTCTCTGACAAGTCAACGTTTTCCATTCATCGAGCTAATGGCAAGGTTCGGATTTACTGTAGGAGAAATGAACGCAATGCCGGCTGCTGCGTACTTTAACGAGATCGTTTTAAGCGTTTGGTTCTGTTTTGGTCTGGACAGACATTGCATAAGGCTTTCGCACTAATCTCGTCGTTATCAAAGGGAATTTGAATGCCAAACGCTAACGAGATGAAATTTTTGCGAGGCATGTAATCCCACTATTTCAAAATAATGCTAATATCACTCTTTTTCAGCAAAATAATGACACAAACCATACTGCTGGGGAAACTGAACTTTCTCCGAGCGAATTACAATGCATTTATTAATGACTGGCCTGCCAAAAGCCCTGATCTAAATTCCTTTGGGATAATTTAGATCAGCGCGTTAGACGTCGCCCTATTCTAACGTCAAACGCCATTCAGCTAAGTTGAGCCTTAATTTTGGAATGGAACAACATTTCACAATACGCTGATCAGTTCAATGCACCAAAGATGCCATGCAGTCCTTTATGCTGAAAGTGGTCATACCCGATATCAATTTGTGATTTTGTTGAGCGACCCCTTTTGAATTTCACTATGTTTGAATAAACCCTCGGCAATATTTTTATTCACAAACATTCATTCTGATTTTTTATATTTGTGTTTATCTAATATGTCAGTCTTCAGCCCAAAAACAAGGCCATTATGAAAACACTTTATTATAAACATTATAATATTGTGTTGTATTGTATTGTGTTGTGTTGTGTTGTATTGTATTGTATTGTTTTATGTATAGTATGGTATGGTATGGTATGGTATGGTATATGGTATGGTATGGTATCGTTTGGTATGGTATGGTATGGTATCATATGATATGGTATGGTATGGTATGGTATGGTCTAGTATAGTATAGTGTAGTGTAGTGTAGTGTAGTGTAGTGTAGTGTAGTGTAGTGTAGTATATTATAGTATAGTATAGTATAGTATAGTATAGTATAGTATAGTATAGTATAGTATAGTATAGTATAGTATAGTATAGTACTTACTATCAAACCTCATTGCCATTGATGCAAGAAATGTGCCTTCTGCAGCTGATTCAATCTCTACGAATTTACCACCTAAAATGTGACACATTGTCTGAAACAGACAATACAATAACTTTATTTAATAACATTCTTCTTTGACATTCAACAACCATGTAATAGTATACCACAATCGGGACAATATATATATTGTACTGTTCTTTTTATATATGTAATACTTAATTTTAATTTAGGTGGATTGTTACACGATAAAATGGAATAAATTAAGTTAAGAAAGACTTTTAGCTTAGACCGTTCGTCCGAAAACTGGCCGAAAGGCCCGAAAAATTGCGATTGAGCATACCATAGCGGTTGGCCAATCCTCGTGGTCCTGGCTGAAGAAATAACAGGAATTTTCATTCCGCATCCATCCGCTTGGACAAGTAGATGCATCTAGAAAATAAATGAAAATAATTATCCTTCTATATTGATTTCATACATCACAAATCTACTTGGCATGAAATATACAGAGCTTTAGAAGTTAGAGTGAAGGTATTTTGTTATGGACATATTACTTGTCTGACAGTTTCTTTTGAAAGCCGTTGTTAAATTTATGTTTGTTATTTACTAGAAATAATTAGTTTGTCTTCTTAATTTAAAGGAACATTAATCCTTATAAATCAGTACATTTTTTCTTCTAAAAAAAAGGAGAAGCATGCGATGGTTCAGAACATGGACGATTATCACCGGGGGGGGGGAAGAAACACTGACTGTGAAATAATTTGTCACCAAATAAGCAAAATATTGAAAAAGAGGTATTTTGACTTCGGTTTTTACACCCCATACAACTCCAAAAGAAATAAAAATGGTTCATTTTATGTGCTCAATGAAAAACATCAGGGAAACTATATCAGTATTGAACACACACACACGCGCGCGCACACATACACACACGCACGCACAAACACATGCGCGCACAAACATGTTTTTGAGAAATAAATGTAATTCCATTTTCGGGCTTAATGGGTATTAATAGTTTATGTTTGTAGTAACAATATTACTTGTACATTTAATTTACTTCATTTTATCGACGGGGCGTAAGTAGTATATCGCCCTTTTTATGTTCTAACGCCATTCAAAGAAGAACGTCATCGCGCACCTGCTGACCTGGAATTTAAGTTGGTTCCAATATTGAAGAATGATTAGTAGGGCGTAATTGCATCGAGTTCAAAAGGAAAAGGGCGTAATTACACCGGTCCCAAATGTTGTAAGAGCCTAAGTAGAAGTTAGGCCCTTTTGAGATTTTGATACGTTAGTTCAAACAGATAGTCACACTTACGCACATTAGGACTTCATGTCACGAGTCAGGGACATACCTTGACACATTTTAAGGATTTGCATTGTAGATAAGGGGCTCCATGGTCTCTTCCCTGGGGAAAAAGTGCAATTCTTTATCTGATAAGAATCATTTGAGTTATCGTTTATGAATTGGCAATTAGTTTGAATCAAAGTTTTATTACTTTGCATACGACTGAAAAACTGACACAAAATGTGTATCACTGGAAACCAAATGAAAAGATTAAAGAAGTAGTAATTTTGCATTCAAACAGGCGCTTTGCATGTTTCGTAATATTTAGGCCTCTAGTTGTACCTGTCTATAATCAGGAGGGTGTGGAAGGAATGTCTTCTCCCATAGACCGAGAAACTTCCAAAAAAGGAAGCAACGATATTGCATTAAATTGTCTTTATAAACATTCAAAAAACAATCATGTTAAAAATGTATATTCTTCTCCGATAGTTTTTTTTCAATTTCCCGAAAGTTGTAAAAATGCATCTACGCCGTTATAGCACTAGACAGCCGATATCAAGTAATCGGAAACTATCGTTAAGTTAAAAATTTTTGGAGGCTGATTTGTGCCATTCGTGTTTTCGCCCCGCGACCCCGCCAAGAGAAAGGTCTAAAATTAACAAGTAAAAGTGTCGGGTGGCGCGCATCGAAAACACGCTAGTTAGCGAGAGCGCGGGGCGAAGTTAAATAATAAAACTTTGCCCCACGGGGGCGCGGAGCGAGATTTAAGAAATAAATAAAACTTCGCCGCGCGCCCTCGCTAAATAGCGTGTTTTCATTCCGCGACCCCTCCAAGCGAAAAGTCGATAATAAACAAGTTTAAATGGCGGGGACGCGGAGCGAAAACAGGCTAATCAGCGGGGCACTAATTAGCGTGTTTTCGCTTCGCCGTTTTATTTCTTAAATCTCGCCCCGTGCCCCCGCGGGGCGAAGTTTTATTTATAATCGCTAATTAGCGTGTTTTCGTTCCGCGCCCCCGCCATTTTAAGTTGTTATTGGCGGGGTCGCGGGACAAAAACACGAATTGCACAAATAAGCCACCATAAAAATCGCATGCGCGGAACCAGACATCGGTTACAGGTGAAATCAATTGCGGAGAGAGATGAGGACACCTGACATTTAAGTCCGTGATTATATGAAAGAGGCTTGCATTTTGATCTTTTTAATATTTCAGATATGCCACCGTCTTGTCATATGTTACTAAATTATATCTATGGTATGAGTTGATATATAAGATACAAGTATACAGGTACTAATAATATTATATATGTTTTGTATATTTTGCTGATTTTTATTATTCAATATTACTTTACGATTCACCGATTACTATGCGTATGAGACAGTTCACAAGCATTTTTAACTTTGTTACAAATATTTATTCCCGTGCACTGTTTGTAATTAAAAGAAATTAAAACAGACTTACGTAAGCACAAGGATAAAGAACATAAAATCAAGCAGAAATAAATTTTCGACATATCTGAAGCGGTAGTCAATTTACACTGAACATTATCTGCTCTGTTCTTATCAATTTATTCATATTGTCTCAATGTCCCATTTTGCCGTGACGATGACAAAGCTTACGTATTACATGAATGAAATTTTTAAAATCCGCATGTTGCATAGTTATTCTTTTAGATTTCTAGTTTCCTCTCACTTTCTTTGGTGTATTTAGAAAAAGATATGTTAATTGTTTATATGCCTTTATGTTTTCACATTCATTTTCATTCCTGATCTGTTGATTGTATATGTAAATAGTTGCAGTAATCTGTCTCATTTTGTTAAAGCCTGTTAAGATGGCGGGGACCGATGCAATATCACAATATGAAGAGCATATATATCAACGATCAAACTTTCAAACTCAATACTCATATGCTGGCGGCAACTTATTCTGTCACTCCCATCTGATCGTGTCTGCACTATTAACTTTTCAGTCAATGCTTATTTTTTTAGCTCGACTTTTTGGAGAATAAGGAGACCTATTCTAGTCCCAAAGCGTGCTACCTCAAACATTTTCAAATTTCATTGACTCCAGGCTTTGAAACGTGCACACCTGTTCACCATCATGTCCCCAAAATGTACATAGGAGGCGGAAACTCTATCATGCATTTTGACAGAATTATGCCATTTTTCAACTTAGAATTATGTTAAAGGTTACTATTAAGCATTTTTGACAATATAATGCCTTTTTTGGTCAATATGTCATCTGCCTGCTAATATCACATCATATTCAATGGGTCACTAATCAATATATTGTGAACTTAATGAAATTATTATTATTCAATATGCAAGACACTCATAAACATGTCGTGTACATTATTTGTATATACATGTATATGAATGATATCTTCCTGCTCATAAATTCTTACATTATCAAAGCTCTTGTTTTACTATCAAGCACAGAAAATAATCCAGCACGATGTCCTACTGACAGCTCTTGTTTGAGGTTAGTGCTAAAAATTATAGATGATTTAGGCGGTCTAGATTGAAAGATGGACAAATCAATTTAAGATATTTGGCGTGGTAAGGGTTAATAATATTAGAGATATTACCAAGGCAATGGCTTGAGTTGTTGGCGGACGAGTTGGACAGAGACTTTTGATTTCCGTTATTGTTTTAAAAGACAAGTCACTTGTTATATATCACACACACTCACACACACACATGGTCGCACTCGAGCGCACTCTCTCACATACGCACGCATGCACACACACGCGCGCAGGCACGCATGCACCCACACATGCTTACACACAAACTCACTATCTCTTACTGATCCTAACAATCCGCCCTTTGACAAATTCTTGAAATACAATATATTTAATTAGAGATAAAAAGATCCAATTTATAATGTAAGTGGTATTAGTAATAAGGAAGATGAAAAAATATGCAAAAACAGTAGGCCTAATGACATTGTGATCTGTTAAGAAAGTCCTCACATTTGCACTTTAAACAAAGTGTTCTTGAAAACTGGGCAAAGTTAACCCTTTAAGCTCACGGAATCTCTTCAGAAAGTGTATATGACGACCATTTTTCGTCTTAATATGAATCAGCTCATATACTTTCCCCGCAACAGTGCATTGCAAGTTATGTAAATATACGATAAGATTAACCGGTTCTACAAACAGTTCAGTTTAAAAGCAAGATTTTATATGTCCGGTGATTATACTTTGAAAGAATTGAAAATAATCAAATAATTATCATTATGCAGAGATGTTTCTGCCATCAACAACAAAAACAACAAAGGCACGACATAATCACATGAGTTTTTTTTATTCCACTTGTTTGACAGTACATGCATCCAGTTGACGCCATATTTAGCCCACTATTCCTTGGAAGCTGAAAGTAAAATTATATCATAGGTACTGTGGTAAATAAGGCAAATTTATTTTAATTGTTTATTAGGATCTAGTTCATTATCTTAACTCTTGTCCTGCATGCAAAAGTTATTTTTCCCATGCTAAAATCAGTCTGCTCATGGTGTACACCGCACATATTTTGAAAATCTCTCTAAAAATGATGAACTTCACAGATGGACAAGTCTCAATTATTATGTCGATTTTAATAAGTTGACATATTTCTTTCTACAAGTAAATTTATTTTAAAAGCAGCATGCCTTCAGATTTATGCTCATTTTCATGGAATTTTGGAAAAAGTACAAAAAGTAAGATATTGTCAAGTTAACAAAGAAAGAAATTTTACACATTTAGTCCACGCAAATTACCAAATATGTTATATTTGTAAAATATACAAATATAACATATAGTTCCACATTAGAAATATGGTAATACACTGTTCGTTAAACCAGTCATTCATTTCATATAATATGTAAACTATTTATATTTTTACTTTTCTTAAAAATTTAGTACATTGTTCAATGTAGCACAGTTTTGTTTATGATCATAATTATTGGGCTGATCCGGATGCCAGTTTGAATATCCAGTTTGTGACATGGGAGTCTTCGTCTCCATCCATATCCAGACCCCTTCTTGTTGTATATCACTGAGACCTATCCATTAGTTTTCTTAAGAAATGAGGAAAAAAATTTAATTAAACAAAGCAGAGTACGACAGTGTTACGCATGACTAAAACCTTCGTTTACAGAACTAGTGCCAGTCCAATTCACCATGCGTAAAGCTTCAAGCAGAAACGCGTTATGGACATTTTAGACTTGTCCTTGCGTTGTTCTCAAAATTCTCCAAATCCCACCAGAGGCGTGCACGTCGCAGAGAAGGCTCATGGCAGTTCAAGGTCAAGCCATCCTAAGGTCCAGGGATGATTGGTTGACGTGCCTTGACTAACTCGGAAGGGTGTGGTCCTGCAAAGGGTCGTTGCTATAAAACACGGATACATTTAAATATTGTCGAACTTCATTATCACCAACGAACGAAGAATAGATCTTAGGCATAGCGGCATGAAATAGATGTCCCCGATGCCGCTACGATCAGCGGACCGGCAAGGACGCAGTATGTCTCGGACATATGGTTCATTCCGGTGCTGAATGCATGTATAGATAAATAAAAAAAACAGGGTTATTGGTAATTATTAATTAGTAAGCCACGAAAACCAGAAACTACGGTGGCTAATTTGGTACACGTTGCGTTGTCGATAGCAACAACACAACCTATATCGTTATCGCCTTTTCGTCTTGTCGCTAGCAAAGCACGCCAAACGGCGCATTTTTGTGCGGCGCGTTGTCAAGATGTCGCCTTGTCGCTTGGCTTATATGTATACAAATAGCCAATCCTTCGATTTTAGCCGAGCGACAATGTTACAACCCGACAACACGTCGCACGACAATTCACCGTTTGTCGTGCATCGTTAGCGACAAGACGACAGTGCGACTACGCGCCCTTTGGCGCTTAAATATCGTGCTGTCGCTAGCGATAACGCGACACATAAAAGTTTTTTAAATCAGCCACCATACCCAACCGCTGTAATATGACTAAAATATGCTAAATTGGCGTAAAAAAACAACAACCAACCAAACAACCTATACACCATGGTTTAGATCATATACTATGAAAGCCAATCTACAAATTACTTTATATTTAATAATATTTTATTGAAATTAAGGTAAAACAATCTAAAAAATGCCGTAGAGACAGCTTTATATTTTATAAGTGTTAACACATGTATTCCTTTTCAGAAAGTCTTTTAAATGACGTCACTGCTTTAAAAATTGCAAATTGTCAAGAAATCGTGACATATGGTCGCACTGAAGCTAACTCCACCTGAGTTTTTCATATTTCATTTCATTTCCTTGTTACGTTAGCAGCTTTATCACTACAGTAGCGGTACTTCAAAGAAAGAAAAAGAAAATCAGGCTAAGAAAAGACATATTAACGTTGCGTATTTGTGGACACCGAAATATTAAGTGTAAGATAGCCAGTCCATCTGCACGTCAGTACCTCAATTCTAACTCTATCCTTTATTGAACCATCATGTTGAATTATTCTGATATGAGATTGACCTTCAGTTGACCTTTATCGTCAATGTCAAATGATTTAAATTTACTTTAATTGTAATAACTGTGTTATTTTTCTGTGGCTTTGGTTCATTGTTGGACAAACCAACGCTTCTGACAAAACTGACAATGGTGATTAGTTCAAATTTGACCTTGACCTTTGAATGACCCAGGACACAAGGTCAAATATGAAAATTGAATTATAAGTTGTTCAAGACAGTTCTAGGAGTATTTCTAGGAGTATTATTTACTACAATATGCTTTCCTCAATGTGTTTGACCTTAGAGATTAAGAAAATGTCGAGCGTGGTCCCCGCCTGTTGGTGGCTTTTGTTTAGTTTATTACACATTGTCATAGATGTAATAAGTATTGATCAGATTTTGTTTTTGACTAAATAAAGATTTCTCACTTCCAAGATACACTCATTAAAAGAACAACAAAGACAGGACATATTCAAGGTTTTTTTCCCACCTGTTTACAGTTTATGTATTCAATTGACGCCAGATTTAGCCTACTATTTCTTGAAAGCTGAAAGTAAAATATCAAAGTAAGTGTGGTATATAAGACAGGTTTATTTTAAACTGTCTATTAGGCACTAATTCATTATCTTTACTCTTGTCCTGTTAGAAACTATATATTTTCCCATGCGGCCAGTGCAGACCAAGATCAGCCGGCACATGGTGTACATTGCACATGTTTTGAAAATTTCCATTAAAAGTGAACAATTTCATCTAGATTGATGGATGGAGAAGTCCAATTAAGATATTTAGCTTGGTTGATAAGGGTTACAATGCCACTCAAATCAGTTATCCGAATGTTTTCGTGGCCGTCGCCATCCCGAAACTTTAATGATCATTTCTTAATTGATTGTCTTCATACTTTGACACAATAACCCATTTTACAAAACCAAAAAGTATTTGACCTAGATTCATATTGTTGGTCAGCATGTTTAATTGTGCACCTAGTGATTGACTTATGTATTTATTCATTATTTCAATTTATTTGTAGAGTTATTGTCATTGACCTAGTTAAAATTTGCAATTTTCGACTTTTATCGTGTATAGTCCAAAAGTATTTGACCTAGGTCATAAAACTTCACAGAAATGTCAGTAAGCATGTGTAGTTGTGCACCTGGAGGTTTGCTTGTAGATTTATTCAGTATTTGTAGAGCTATTGTCCTTGACTTCTTAGTAAACATTTGCAATTTTCAACTTCTGTTGCGTGTACCCCCAGAAAATTGACAATTTCATTCATTGAAACTTTACAGAAATGCTTGTTTACATGTGTACTTATGCACCTAGGTGTTTGCTTGTATATTTAATCAGAATTTATTCGTAGAGTTATTGCATTGAAATAGTGAAAACTGTTTCCAAAATTGTTATGTGCACCCTTAAAGTGATTGAGTTAAAAACAATTACAGAGATGTGATCACATGTGAAGCTGAACACTTTGCGTTTTGCATTGTTTTTAAGCCCACCTGTCACAGGGGGGGGGGGGGGTCATTGGTTTTTCTCATATGGGAATATTTCATATAAAAGCCCGTAGGTAAAAATTGGCCCCACCCCGGGGGTCATTGTTTTTCATTAAATGTATATAGTAAAATCTTACAAAACTTCTTTTAAAATATCCAAAGATCTGGAGCTTATATATTTAGCATGAAACATCTTCTAATAAGGATCTACAGTTTGTAGATTAAAAGTTTGTTAAAATTAAAGCCCTCGGGTCCAATTGGTCCCACCCGGGGGTGGAGGGGGTAATTGATTTTCATTTTATGTGTATAGTGAAAACTTTAAAAATCTTCTTTTATAAACCCCAAATAGCTAGAACTCCGATATCTAGCATGAAACATTTTCTAGTGAGTGTCTACCAAGTTTGTTCAAATAAAAGCCCTTGGATCAAATTGGCCCCGCCCCGGGGGTTAATGATATTCTTTATATGCATATATTAAAACATATGTTTTTACACATGCACTATTTCAGATACAAGTATGAACATTGTGATATCAGTTTAAGATGTAGATTTTAGATCTGCTTTTGTTTATAGTTTACAATATTACTTGCTTCTTGTCATGGAGAGTTTTTTTTATACAGGTGAGCGATTTCAGAGCTATCATGACCCTCTTGTTTCAGTTTTTTAGAGTTATTGTCCTTAATTTAGTATAAATTTTAATTTTCAACTTTAGTACTTGGCGTAGAGTCATAAATCGCAGGAATGTTAAATATTTGCAATTTTAACTTGTGTTTGGTGTAGCCCAAAAACTATTTATCCTAGAGTCAAAAAAGTGAAAAGAAGATAGTGTGTAGTGGCACCCGTGTCCTATAGACTCATTTCTAGTTTATGAACGGAATGTCTTCATACTTGTACAAAGTCATCCTTTGTACTACACCTATAAGTAGACCAAATTGATTATGACCGCCACTCATCATTGACCTTGAACTTGAAGGTTACATTAATGAACCTTTTATAACTTTATGTTTGCTATATTGGCTAGAATGTGGTTATTTTATGTGTAGATTCTCTTTATACTTGGCCACAATGATCCTTTGGACAAAACCTTTGAGTAGACTAAATTCATCATGACCTTCAGTAATTAAATGTTTTGAATTAATGAATGTTGCTTTATTGTTAGCTGAACTGAGCTGGTTCAGGGTGGATGTCTGTCGTCCGTTCACATTTAGTTTGTTAACACTTTAGTTGTCACATCTTTTGCCTCAATTGTCACAAATTGGTCAGAATCTATGTCCAAGTAATTGCTAGATTGAATCCGACCATGGGTCATCTTGAATGGGAAATAAGGTCACCGCAGCCAAAAAACAGAAATATCTTGTTAACACTCTATAGGCTACTGTTTCGATTCAAATTACCTAGAAATATGTCAGAAAGTATGATGATTTATAGCGGGTCAAAAAACAAGGTCACACAGCCAAGATATGGAAAAAACTTTGTAAACTATTTCAATTTATATACTTAAAAATTGTTCATGAAGATTGCTAAGATGATTTTTATTTAAAATTCAAATATGGGTCATCGGTAGATAAAAACAAGGTCACACAGCCCAAATTTGTAAAAACCTTGTTAACACTCTAGAGGAAACATATTCTGAAAAATCAAAACAGAGGTTTTGTAGAAGATTTCTAATTAATGATAATAATATGGGTCACCTAGAGTAAAAAAAGAAGGACACACCTCAAATATGAAATATAAAACCTTGCTATCACTCTAGAGATAACATTTTCAGCCTTTATATCCTGGAAATTTGTCAGAAAGGGTGTTTTGATCGTTTAAGCTCTTTTACGAATATGGGTCACCTGGGGTAAAAAAACAAGGTCACACAGTCCAAATATGAAAAAAACACATCTTAACACTCTAAAGGCTACTGTTTTGTCCAAATATCCTCCAGATTGGTTGGAAAGTTTTCAGTTCAAGTTTAAATATGGGTTCCCTTTTGGTTTTGAAATAGGTCACACAGCCCAAATATGAAAAAACTTTTTCTCAGAACTGTAGTGATTACATTTTCAGCCAAAATATCCTTGAAATAGCAAGAAATGTTGTTTAGATGATTATAAGCTAAAGGTTGAGTATAGTTCACCTTGGCCCAAATGTTAACAACCTAGAGGAAATATTTTTATTTTAAGATTAACATTATTCATGGTATCTGATTTTCATTCATAGTTAACAATTTTAATTGTTCCTTGTCATTGAGAGCCTTAATAATTGGGTGAGCGATATAAGGACAATCATAGCCCTCTTGTTCCAATACTTAGCTAAAGCTTTGTTTTTATGAATGGATTGTCTTTATACTTGAGCGACATTGATTTAAAGAAAGATCAAACTCAATTTGACCTTGACCTTTAATAACCTTAATCTTGAAGATCATATTGTAATTTCACATTTTTCCATTTCTGGAATTGGCTATAACTTTGTAATTAATGAATGAATTGTCAAAAATAATTCTAAGGACAAGACCGTAAAAGAAGATTTAATTGCACTAGACCTTAAAGAAATATTGACACTTAAAATTATCTTTTTTTGCTGTAATTTATCAAATCTTTATTATTTATTTATGAATTTGATTTAGACTTAGACACAAAAAAATCTGATGACAAAAACTTGTATGTTGAACAATTCAAATATGACCACATTTATTTGACTGACCGTCAATGTTAAATTATTGAAATTTGTTTAAATTATCTTAACTTTGAAATTTACTTACAGGTATGAAAAATATTTGGATAAAAGATCACATGTGACAAAAACGACAAGTTGAATTATTCTGATATGACCTTGACCTTTACTTGACATTGACTGTCAATATCAAATTATCGAAGTTTGCTTAAATTGTCAAAACATTGTTATTTATGGATTCAATTCATTTTTGGACAAAACTGACATGATGATGAATTCAAATGTGACACTGACCTTTGAATGACATCGATCGTTAAGGTCAGATATGAAATTTTAATATTCTTTTACAAAAAAAACCTTGTAGGAGTACTCTTTCTTATAAATTCTTCCTCTAATGTGTTTGACCTAAGAAATAAGAAAAAAATCGAGTATTGGCTCTTGATAAAAAAGAACATCAATCATCAAATTGAAATTGACGCCATGGGCATTTGCATTCAAATCTGCATTTTTTCCAAACAAATGTCGATTTAGTTAGTTGACAGGTGATTTATTTCTTTAAATGATTTTTTTGAAACTTACCCATCAGGTTTTTCGCATATGTAAGGCAAATTAGGTTCGCTACATTGCCAATCGTTCCAAAGACCATTCTCGTTATGTCCATTCAATGTAGCACAGTTTTGATTTTGACCACTATTATTGGGCTGACCCGGATGCCAGTTTGAATATCCAGTTTGTGACATGGGAGTCGTCGTCTCCATCCATACCCAGACCCCTTCTTCTTGTATATCACTAAGAGCTATCCAGTAATTTTCTTTAAACATGTGAAAAAAAAATTAAGCAAAAAGCGTACTCCAGCGTCACACATGATTAGGACCTACTTTTACAGAACGAACTACTGCCAACCTAATTCAATCATGCATATAGCTTCAAGCAGAAACGCGTCATGGTGCTATTGCATTGTTCAGACTTCTCCAAATCCGTCCCGAGGCGGGCACTCCGCAGATAAAGGTAAAATAGTCCTAAGTATCATGGGTGGTTAGTTTAGCTGCTGAGAATAACTCGGGAGGGTGTGGTCCTGCAAAGGGACTTTGTTATGAAACACGGATACCTTGGAAGTACATGTACTGTCAAATTTTATAACCAACAACGAACGAAAAATGGGACTTCCCCGATGCCGCTTCGATCAGCAACCATCAAGGACATAGTAGGCCTCGGACATATGGTTCATTTCGGTGCTGAATTCATGTATAAATAAATAAAAAGAACTTGCAGGCTAGATAGTAATAATTATCTAGTTATCCACTAAATCCAGTAAGATGGACTGACTGCCTTGATATGACAAAAATATGCTAATATAAGCGTAAATTATACCAACCAAGTCACCTATAAACTATGTACGAATTACGTAATGTTAATAACATTTTATTAAAATAAAGGTCAAACAATCTAAAAGAAAATGCCGTACAACCAACTTCATATTTTATGACGTGAGAATATTCCTTTTCCGAAAGTTTTTTTTTATGACGTTTGGCAAAATCAAAAATCATGACATATGGCTACACTGTAGCTAATATTACCACCGTGTTCACATTTCCTGTCATACACTTTCTTATAGCAGCTTAGTTATTACATTTTCGGTTCTTTAAAGAAAGTGAATGATAATGAAACATTTGACCAAGGCGCAGTACGTAGTGTAAATCAGACTGAAAACAATTTTTATGGGGAAAACAACACATGACACGATGCGTTTTGTGGATATCGAATCATTAAGTGACAGATATCAAGCCCATCTGACCTTAAGTACTTTAATTATGTCTATCCTTTATTGACCCATCCATGCATGCAATGTAATGTCAAACGTTAGGTTATTATTACCTTCAGGGCCAGAGAAAAAATGTTTACATCTCTACTGCTACATGAACAAAATAGTGATACTAGCCTTGTTTATCTGTTAGGCTAATAAATATTTTACAACGTTTACAATTAACGTAACTAAAAATTTCCTTTCTCTGTTTTGTACTTTGTTAAAGACCCATTGTTGGGGCGTCCGTGACCAAGTGGTAAAGGGTGTTGACTTCATACCACTTGTCCGTCACCGCTGTTGGTTCGAATCCCACCAGTGACTTTGGATTCTTTCATGTGAAGAAGCTATTCAGCTAGCTTACAGACCCTCGAATATACTACTCAGGTGCCCGTTTGTGCCTGATTAAATTAATTTATATCACGAATTTTTTTTTATATAACCTCTTTCTTTGAAATGTGTTTGTTTGTTCGTTTTCTCTTCTTAATTTTACTTCGCTGAGATAAAGAAATGAAAATATGTGCGTAGATACTTACTATCAAACCTCGTTGCCATTGATGCAAGAAAAGCTTGTTCTGCAGATGATTCAATCTCTACTAGTTTACCACTTAAAATGTGACACATTGTCTGAAACGGACAATACAATGACTTTATTACAGACGTTCTTATCTTACTTTTTACTGACCACATTTAAAAGTAAAATATATAAGCAATGTACTGTTCCTTTATATATATAACACTTTACTACTTAATTTAGGTGGACTTTTACATGGAACAAATTAATTAAATCCCAACATTTAAAATACTATTTTTTAAGCTTAGACCGTTCTGTGTATTTAAACTATTCGAGATTCTTTTGCAAAGTTTTCTGGAAGGGCAGAAAAGTTGCGATTGAGCATACCATAGCGTTTGGCCAATCCTCCTGGTCGTGACTAAAGTGATAACAGGAATTATCATGCCGCATCCATCCGCTTGGACAAGTAGATGCATCTAGTAAATAAATGAATATAATTATCTTTCTATATATTTAGATCATACCTGACAAGTCTACTTGGCATGAAAAAATACAGAACTTTTGAGGTAAGAGTAAAGTTATATTGGTTTAAACAAAACATTTAACGTGTGAACAATATTTACAAAATACATTTTGGGATTGGACAGAAAGCTATAAAGCTAGCTCTCCCTTTTATAGCAATTTACATTTAGTTCAAGGTATTACAATGCACAATGGTTACTTGAAATTAATTTCAAGAAGTTTTCATAATAATCAAGTATTTTACAATGTAACATATGTAAGAGTAAACAGTAATAAAAAAAATAGAGCAAAATAAATGAAAAATGAAGCAAACTGCAGAAGATGACAAAGCTTAGAATTGAACCAAAAGAAGCACAATAATATCTTATTTGATTGCTTTTAAGTTTGCATATAAGCAGATACTAGTACGCAAAATAGATATACCACTGAATATTAAAGGGAAAAGGGTATAAGAGAAAGGAAAAGAAAATGGGATTGACAATGATGAAAGCATTCGAAGAAAACTAGTTAAGAAATGCATTAATCTCGTATCTGTTTCAATATGTTGAATATGTTGAATTTTGATTTTAAGATTGATAAATTAGAGATCAAAAGGTAAGAATGCTATTATATAGAAGGATTGCACAATTGGGAATAGCCTTATTACTTTAAGGTAAAGATTAAGTATATTAAGGGCATTGCTAAACGGATTTATTACCCGCATTAAGGAGAGGTCGATAATTTCTTTTCCAAATAAATCGCAGAAAGTGAACTGCAGTTTTAGTAACGTTTATTTGTTGGAAAAAAGTAATTCTTGCGCCCCGCAAAAAAAATGGACGTTATTTTTTGTTGAAGGCCGTTATTATCTAGCGGCTTTATGTTAAATTTGTTCGAGCTCCCTTTTTTAATAATTTGCTACAATTTAAAAAAAAATTCTCTTCTATTTTAAATCGGTTTTTTGAAAAATTGGCAATGACCCTTTAAAGATTTTTCCCGTGGTTAGAATTTTTTAAATTTTAAAAACTTTTTTCTATTTCCGTCGAGTTAATTTTGGTTTAAATATGTGTGGACCGTCTTATCTGGCGAAAGTATTACCCAAGTTTTGTGAAAAAATGTACGTCTGTTTTTGCTTGCATAAAAAATGGGGGTAGATTGCTTTGTTTTTTTTTTGTTTTCAATGTGATTCTTCTTTTTGGGGTAAAATTTACCAACCTTTTTTTTAGGAAAATTTTAAAAACCTTTTTGCGATATGTGTTTTATGATAGTTGAAGGAGTGGCAGGATCTTTGACAACAATGAAGGGGTGCGTATAGTCGGCGAAGAGTCCATCGACATCTGGCATTGAAGCTTTGCACGCTTGTTCACCATATTGGTATTGATGTCGGTAACAATATCGTTAATATAAACCAGAAACAGCGAGGGTCAAAGAATTGAGTCAATTGACCCTTTCGGCACATCAGTGGTAATAAAGTGTAGAGAAGATCTACAACCAGGTAGAACAACTCTTTGTGTTCTGTCCTTAAGATAAGAGAAAAACCAAGAGGAAAGACGACCAGATATATCGATGCAATTTGATTCAACAGTCCTTTGTGCCATTTATTATTGTTGTAACCATATGGAATATTCAATTCAAATGAGATGGGTATTTTACATGAATATATCGATTTGCACGAGTTTTTGTAAGCTATATAATTTCATAATAGATTGAACACGTCTCGTATTTATTTCCGTGCAATGTTTATTATTAAAAGAAATTGAAACAGACTTACGTAATCGCCAGGATAAAGAACATAAAATCAACAAGAAATAAATGTTCCACATATTTTAAGCGGTAGTTAATGTACATTGAACATTATCTTCTTTGTTCTTATCAATTTTTAATTTTGTCACTGTGCCCCATATTGCCGTGACTATGACAACAATAAAGTATTACATGTGTGAAAAATTTACAAAAATGTTCCACAACAAATGACAAAAATCTGGATAAAGTGTGATCTCTGGGATGTATAAATATCAACAAAATTACAAAAAAGTTGACTAGGTTTGATTGAGTCTGTAAATGAGGGATATTGAAACCGCACTTTATAAAAATTAATATTGCCACAGTGTGTATGTTTTAAACAAGACATGCGTAAAGTAATTACTTATATTCTTAAAAACTGGTTTCCTCTCACTTTCTTTGATGTATTTGGAAAAAAGATATGTAAAGTTTTTATATGAATTCATATTTTCACATACATAACAATTCATAGTGGTCCGTTGTTCTTTTATGTTAATGGTTGCAGTAAACTCATATATCTTTAAAGCTAGTTAAGATGCATGGAAACCCACGCTGTAATTTCATATATGTATTTGAACAGTATATACTCGTATATCAACTTTAACGGCATGCTCGTAGGCACTTAATTCTAAGCCTGTCGGCGGCAACAAATTCTGTTAGTGCGATCAGTGCAGACCCAGATTAGCCGGGAGACCAGTGTCTGACTCATCTGAACGTATCTGCACTGTTTACCTTTCTGTCAGTGCTTATTTCTTATCTCGTCTATTCGAAAAATAAGGAGCTCTATCCTAGTACCCGAGCATTGGCGTTGGCGTAACTATTTATATTAAAGTCTGCGTACCACCTCAAATATTTTCAAAGTCCATTAACATCTGGCTTTGAAACTTTTCACAATTGTTCATCATCATGACCCTAACCTGTAGACAAGAAGAGGTAAACTCAATCGAATTATATAGCCCTTTTTCAACTTTAGAAATTTATTTGTTAAAAATTGTGTACCATACCAAGTATATTTTCGAATTCCATTGACCTCTGGCTTTAAATTGTGTACACTTGTTCAACCTGTACACAGAAGGAGGTAACCTCTATCAAGCATTATGAACAATATTCTGCCTCTTTTTTTTGGTCAATATGTCATCTGCCAATGAATATCACATCATGTATTTCAATGGCTTACTGGTCAATAATAATTGGACATTTAGGAATTTAATAAAATTTTTTGTCAATATCCAAGACACTCTATAACCATGTCATGTACATTTATTTGTATATTTTTATAAATTATGTTTTCTGGCTTATTAATTCTTACATTATCAAAGCTCTTGTTTAACTATTTCAAGCACGGAAAAATAATCCCAGCACGATGTCCCTACTGACAGCTCTTGTTTTTTGTTTAAAAAATTATAGATGATTTTTAGTCGGTCTAGAATGAAAGATGGACAATAATTTTTAATAAATATTTGGCGTGGTAAGGGTTAATAGGTATTAGAGATATTTACCATGGAATGGCTTTGAGTTGTTGGCGAACAAGTTGAGACTTTTGTTTTTCCGTTATTGTTTTAAAAAGACAAGTCACTTGTTTAATATCACTCACAACACCTAACGCATGCGCAACGCAACGCAGTGCGCGGCGCGGCGCACACACACACACCAACGGCACAGCACCCATACACACACCACACACACACACACACCACACACACACCGCAACACGCACGCACGCACGCACACACGCACGCACGCACACAATGAGTGCTAAGATCAACAAGGAAGAGCCACGTCCATAAATACAACCCACGATAAAAACGACAACACAGTATCAGTGATTTTAAAGAAAATATGTTCTTTTAACCACGTACGATTTTTGATCAATTAATAATTATTCTTTGTGTAATTAGTAAACTATGAAATGTTTAAAGAGGTTAATCTTGCAACATTAATCGGTGTTTACTCCTAAAGTGGTTTTTGGTACTGGTTGTTCCAAAGGGGGGTTTCCCCCGTTTCTCCTTTAAAAGTATTGCTTTTCGTTTTTAGATTCCGGTTGGTTTTTTTTTGTTGACATTTGGAATTGGTTACTGGTAAGAATTCTTGACCCCCCACCCACTTTACCCCTCCCCCCTCAATTAGGTTTAATAGATGGAGCATTCCCGGGTTAGTAATCCCCCCAGATCGTATGGAACCTATATGAAAGGGGCAATTTTTTCCCCTGACAATTTTTACACTGGCATTGTTTTTTAATGGGTAATTGTCTTTACAGTTTTCTCTCTGAATTTTTTTTTAATTCTTATTACATGTATTATCTAACACGAATTTTACCTTGGTTGAGTGAACGCTGATGATCACTCATATTTCTTGGAATATTGTTCTCCGACTTACATCTGGTATTTTCTTCAGTCTGTAAATTCTGTAAAATGTTAGATACAATACATATAGAAGTAATGGATTTTTTTTTAAAGAACATCCGAAATTCAAAATATATCAGACTCAGTTTTAATCATAATTGGATCCAATCTTATCAATTTAGCCTCGTTTTTAAAATATCTATATGAAATCCATATTGTAGTCAATTTAGTCTAGTTGCTATTTTCCGAGTCCTTTAAATCCAAATCAAATCCATATTGCATTTACGCTGAAATATTCTGTAAAAATGTTAAATAATTTGCGGTGTGCAATAAAGAGGTCATAATAAAATGTTGAATACAATACTGAGTTCTATTGGACGAAACACAGCCGCAAAAATTCTATATTGGGGGCAAAAAAGCTAAATATTGGAAAATTTTTGTATGGTCCCAAAAAATTTCCCGTATTGTATTAAAAATGTATATGAAAATAAAATGCCGTAATTTTAAAAAGTAAAAAATAACCCTTTTTGTCTTTCACCCTGGATTATTTATATTAATCTTTTTTATTTTTTTTTACATCGCAAAAACAAATTTGTATGGCAACCTCCCCGTTTCTGTTGGAAGGGGAAAGCGGTTTCCCTTTCCAAACAAATTTTTTTCAGCAATTTAAAAGGGGGACCTTTTAGTAGAACTATTGACGTTCCGTAAGCAAATAAAGAATCCAAAGTCTCCCGTCGAGATTTTTGCGCCCAAAAACGGTGAGTGAAAAGGTGGTTTAAAAAGTCAACCACCCTTTAAACCCCTTCCCGGGCCCTGAAAGCCCTCTAAAAATTATTGGGGTCAAATTTTTTTATCAAATTTTTATTAAATTTAAATTACGTGTTCCAAAACTATATTATCAATATTGTATTCCATCTAAACCCGGTTTTTAAATTTTTTTGGTACAAAAGAAATGCATATCAAAGGTTTTTTAATCGAAAATAAATCGGCTGCTATAGTTAATTATTCTTTTTATCTTTTTATTAAACACATTTTTAAAACTCTTATTTCATCTTAATTTATCAAACGTCTTTTTCACTTTTGTTTGGGGTTTCCGGGAACTTAGAATTTTTAAAGCCCTGTAGTACCCCTTAGTTATTCTGGGGGAAAATCTTTTTTTTATATTTTATTAAAAATGTTTATTATTGTAAAAATGTGACTGATGGGCCTTTTAAGTGGCCCCAAAATTTTAAAAAAAAAAGTTAAAAAATGTTTTAATGTAAACAAAGTTAAATCAAAATTTTTTTTAAAAAAGGAAAAATTAAGAAAAAAAAATTAAAAAAAAAAAAAAAAACGCGCCAAATTTAAAAAGACCCATGATAGATAATGGTAATTAAAAGGTCTTATTTCTTGGGTTTTATTGGTTAAAACTTATTCTAATGGACTAGTTCACCAAATTCCCAAAATATATGGACGAAGTGGCCCTCTAAACAAATTTTTTACATGTATTGTCTAGTAAATTTTGCTCAAAAATAATTTTAACCTCCCTTAAAAATTTTTTTTTAACCCAAAAGCTGTCATAGATTGTGTGACTTGGTCGTTTAAAAATATCCCCGTAAGGAGTTTTAAAATCTTTCCCAAAGTAAAATTTCCCCATAAAAAAGTTTCCCTGCGTATGGGTTCCCTTTTCCCTGTAAGGGCCCTTGGGGGAAAAGAGTTAATGACAAAAAAACCAAAAAATAACGTTTAAAAAGAAAATTTGAAACGAAACTTTCAGAACATATGACTTTTACATAGAATGAACAGTGTGGTTTTGACTCGTGCACAGTTGAGAACCGGCTTGTCCAGTACGGTTTCTCAAGCCGTGTACCTGTTCAAATGCATTACCATTTTGTCCAACTAAAATGATAAATAACTTGTAAATATTCTTAAAATATTGTTAAAAGATAGAAAAAAGCGCCATTCTCAAGTGCGTATGGTCTTGCCCGTGTAAGGTCTTGGATAAAAGCAGTTAATGACAAAAACATCAAAATAACGTTAAAGAAGAGCATTGAAACGAAACTTTCATACGTTTATGATGGTTAAAGTTATTTCTGTTGTTTATCCAAAATGGCGAAGTCAATTTACCTGTATTTGTTGTTTTGCTGTGTCCAGTTCATTCTTTAGGCTCTTAATTGTATTTTCTGTAGCAGCAAATCGGGCCACCCCGAGCGGGCAAATTCCCGTTTAATGCACGAGAGAAAGGGGCCCAAATTTTACACTTTTTAAAATTTTAAAAATTGAAAAGAGAAGGAAAAACTTCATTTTGAATGAATATGTAACATTATCTAAAATCTAGATATATATATATATCTTCAATTATCTCAACAAGGAAAAAGACCTGATTGGATGTATACCATATGTCTAGATTCACAAGGAAGTCATCGCCTATAACTCTAAAAGTGTCCTATGTCCATTTTTGCAAAATTTGAGATAAATGAACCATTCTTTTAACCTTACATTGCTCTATCTTTTAAGCTTTGGGTTCAAGGTTATGATGACCTAGAAACGGAGTTACCGAGTATGAACTTTGCTCTATGTCCACATTTCGCATGATCGTTTTATCCTTATAGTAGGGTATGTACGTTTGTTACGGCACCATATGTAAAACGGCACCATTTGTAAAATGGTGCACCATATGTCAAAAAATCGGAACCAAATACGAAATTTTTTGCCGTTTTGCCCTGCACCAAATGTCAGTATTTTCGGTACCATATGTAAAATATTTTTTGATATGCACCATAAGTAAGAAAAGATGCACCATTCGTAAAATGGAAACAAAATCACTTGGAGTAATATAATAGGGGTAATATTTTCTGTACTATAACATAGTCTTATCATTATTTATTCAACATCATCATCATCAATCATATCATCATCATCAATCAACGCTGACTGACGCCTTACCTACGAGCTAACCAGTTATTCAATTAGTTAGTTTGATAATATTAAACTTAAAGAAACCTATCGTCTCCATTGTGTTTCACATACTTTCGTTTTTGAAATTATTGACAGTTTAGACATTGAATTTTTATCATTAAAGTGATGTCTCAATAACAGATATTGTCTAACAAAGCATTCAAATTTCATATGCGCTAATATCTTATCAAGTAAAAATAATTAGTTTTTCTGTTTTCTAGGGCGGGCCCTGCTTTTTTCCATGTCTTATACATGGATGTTTTTCTGTTTGCACGTTCTAATTTGTGGACGTTTGTCAGGTCCTTAAGCTTATCGTTGCTATACACAATAATGTGCAGTCATACACAACAAAAACTCCAATAAGTAACATGTAAGTTGCTATATGTACGGTAAAATCCTCTCATTAGTCTTGATATTAAAGTAGAGCCAATTATCCTTTTTTAACTATTTAAACGCGCAAGCGAAGCGAGCGCTTTGTAAATTCATGTTTAATAATGGTGCAGTGACATGCACAAAACAATATTTTAATTATTTTGCAATAATAATTATAAATGATTTCAAAATTTTTTTTTGCAAAAGTAAATATGACTTTTTTTGTTTTTAATGAAATAGATTATAAATTTTATTTTGGTGAGAGATTGCTTATAAATTAGTTAAATCGTCGTTTTATAAGCATTTATAAAGTTTATTATGAAAAGAAGATATAACAACGAGATAAAAATAATGTGAATATGCGGTTTTCGTTGTTGAAAAAAGGAGTTTTTATTGCACCATGTATGTACAGTTGTAACATAGTCAAACTCATACTTCGATACACAAACGATATAATCTGTGCGCGAGCGGACGCGCTTGAATAAACCACTTCTTTGAGAAAAAAACAGTTGGAAGACAATTATATTTTTACAATAAAAAATAAAATTTGTTTTTCGCCAGTGTGTATTATCATATCATCATTTTCTCCGGAGTGTATTATCATATACCATTTTTCTCTAGTGTATATTATGATATCACTATTCTCTCCAATAACAGGATCTTTACCGGCAAATAAAGGACAATGTACCGACAAAAAAAGACTACCGTAGGGACTCTTACGACATTCAAGGACTGTACCGACAATTACAGGGACTTTACCGACAAATAAAGGACTGTAGCGACAAAAAAAGGACTACCGTAGGGACTCTTACGACATTCAAGGACTGTAACGACAATTACAGGGACTTTAATCGACAAAAAGGACTACAGTAGGGACTTAACCGGCAAATAAAAGACTTTCACGACAATTACAGGGACTTTATCGGCAAACAAAGGACTGTAACGACATATAAGGACTACGGTTCGGACTCTAATGACACTCTAACGTGTTTGACCATCAGGGATTTTACTGGCAGGACTGTAAACATGCATCCATGTATGTACGTATGTATGAATGTATGTATGTATGTATGTATGTATGTATGTATGTATGTATGTATGTATGTATGTATGTATTCTCTCCAGTGTGTATTATTATATTACCATTCTCTCACAGATATAATAATACACACTGGAGAAAATGATGATATGATAATACACACTGGAGAGAATGGTCATATAATAATACACAATGGAGAGAATGGTAATATATAATAATACACACTGGAGAAAATACATACATACATAGCGTAGATGGGCAAGATAAAATTTTCATCTCGTGTTGTCCAGGGGTTGCAGAGTTGTGCCCTTAGCCAGTTTTCAAACTAAATTCTCGTTTTCTGACAATGCGGTGTGAGGGGGTATTTATCAACTTCAGTGATAACTCTAGTTTTTCAAGTTATAGCCATTTGTAAAAGCACTACATTGTATCGTATCTGATAAATTTGTATTATGCTTACAGATGGGTTTTCTTTTTAAGTGTATCTGCTGGGACAAGGCCGAGGCAGCTCGGATTAGTGACTGATGAGGACTACAGAATAATGGCTGATATGTGTATGAAACACAAGTGTCTAGACTGGAAGAAGATGACAGTCTCTGAACGAAATGCAGTATCAAGATTCTATCGAAATAAAGAACATTTCCGAATAGAAAAAGATCATCCAACGCCAAAACTATTTTATCAAAAATAAGGAAGTTCTGAAACAATCTGATCTTAGAAGTATGATAGTTAAATTTTACCATGACCTGAAGGGTGTTGGCTATCGAACACTTTATTATCGACTACAGCAGTCATACGCAGGCGGAAGTGGCAGCGGTCTAGTTACGGAAGTTAAAACAACTTTTGAACAATTCTTATTGGGCTAATGCTTGGTTGTTTTTTAAAGATGGTAGCAATACATGGATGATACATCATTGTCCGAGTTTGGTACAGAAAAAGGAACGTATAAAGTTTTCATATTTTTAGAAATCTAGACTAAATAGAATCCTCAACAAAGCAACCAAACATTAATTTCAACATGAAGTCGTTGAATGTTTCTGTTCTCTGTATGAAGAGAAGTCTTCAAACAACGCAGATGACCGCTTAGAGACTCTGGCCAGCGGCTATGGACTCTTATGGGTCTCTTATTGTTTAGTTTACTGTTACTTAAACCTTCGAATCATTCAATAATCAAGTACCGTTCAGAAAAGGTGCATTAGGACACTGGTCTCGCAACAACAATGTTATTTTATTAGTTGTTAAAAACATTTTTTATGTTTTTATGTCGTTACATGTACACAGTTCTTAATTTATTACCTCATTAAAACTGATGGTACAGCATTGTTCGAGAGTATTATTTATTTTACTGTTGATATAAAATTAAATCCTTTATTACTTAAGCACCGTTAAGAAAAGGTGCATTTGGACACTGGTCTCGCAACAACAATGTTATCTTAGTTAATAAGACGTTGTTTTTTTTGGTTGTTACATGTACATAAATGTTACTTTAATTCGCTGCAACTGCGTTTCTAAAGTTTTGTTTCACGAGTTTATCTGAATTTATTTATGTTAATGTTTTGAGTCACAGTTTTGCTAGTTATTGCAATAAATTTAGAAGAAAGAAACTATTGTTTTGGTTTTCAATAAAAAAATTTGATGGAAATCTGCTGCTGCTGTTGCTGCTGCTACCGCCGCCACCAAACCGCCATTAACAAAACCACCGCAACCATTACCACCACCACAATCACCACCACTACTACTTTATTGTACTAGTTCTACTGCTAAAGGTAATACTGCTACTTTTACAACAACAAGACGTACGTACAATTGCTACTGGTGGTGGTGGTGATGATTATGATGATGATGATGATGATTATTATTATTATTATTATTATGATCTTGTTGGTGCTGGCGACGACGACGATGGTGATAATAATGATAAGACTATGTTATAGTACAGAAAATATTACCCCTATATATTACTCCAAGTGATTTTGTTTCCATTTTACGAATGGTGCATCTTTTCTTACTTATGGTGCATATCAAAAAATATTTTACATATGGTACCGAAAATACTGACATTTGGTGCAGGGCAAAACGGCAAAAAATTTCGTATTTGGTTCCGATTTTTTGACATATGGTGCACCATTTTACAAATGGTGCCGTTTTACATATCGTCGCCTAACTCTTAAAGTGTCCTATGTCCATTTTTGCAAAATTTGAGATAAATGTACCATTCTTTTTACCTTACATTGCTCTATCTTTTAAGCTTTGGGTCCAAGGTTATGATGACCTAGAAACGGAGTTATCGAGTATGAGCTTTGCTCTATGTCCATATTTCGCATGATTGTTTTATCCTTATAGTAGGGTATGTACGTTACTTAGGACAATTTTATTGTGAAACCTGAAATAAGCCAATCAAAACACAAACTGATGGTCAGGTGACCTTGGTCGTTTTCGCGATAATAGTGCGCTAAGTCAAAACTTCCGGTAGGGAATTTTCTTGCCAATATTTTTTGTAATGCCATTGATTGTGTTTCCAAGCAAGATGAAATAATAATATGTTAGTATATTAAACTAAAATCTCTGTACGTGTAACTGCAATTTGCTTTTTTAATGTCGAATGCACTGTAATCTCAGAATTTTAAGAAGTTTTACAAAATCTAGTAAATATAATTCGGATAAACAATATTTCGGATACATAAATAAGTAAATTAAAGTTTACCTTTTCATTTTTATTGTGAGCTATGCTAAAATCATTGATATTATAATCTACTTAAATTTAAATATCATTGTAGGTTAACCTCGTGGTGTTGCCCGACGGCGTCCTTATACACATTTTGGGCTATATC